AGCAGTCAAAAAAGATATTTAAAAAATAGCTTGGTAGAACATAACTGCTTATCATCTGTGAGTACATAAGCTTTTTAGAGAGATGTCCTGGAGTCTGGAAGGAGAAAAAAAAGCAGTGTAGGAAGTAGTGTGGGCATGACACTATCCCACAGCAGTTTCTTTTCTTGCTAAGATGACTTCCGTCCTTCATGGAATAAATAGAGATGAGTGCTCCTTTGGCAGCAGCCCAGGTTGCTTCATTTGTTCTTCTGGGTGAACGTTTTTCTCTTCCCACACTCCTTTAACCTCCTCTCTCTGTTTTATTATCACTATCTCAAGTCACTGCATGGAAATACAGAAAGATTACTAGCTGCAGATTCAATGGAAAGCTTTGTTTGGCAAAAGATGACTTTAAGGTAAACCATTCTCAATCTGGCAGTGATTAGGACAGCTGTGTTCTTTAGGTGCTCAAAAGCTGTAGCTCTTTTTGTTCTGTGGGCTGAAACGATGTTTTAAGATAAAATACCTTTAAAATCATTGATGGAAAATTAAAAATGAATCTGCAATCTGCTTCTCAGGAACCACCTGAAGGCTTCAGCTTTGCTCTCAAGTTTCTTTAGGAGTTTTGGTAGACTTTCCAACTGGCAGTAAAATAGCAATCATCTGTTCCATGTGAGGAGCTTTTCACTATTCTCTGCTGCTGTTACTGCAGTTAAGGTCTAAAGAGTGTGGTAATTGGAAGTTGGATGAATTGAGATTGGTAAGACTTGTACCTGATAATACAAGCCCTTTTGAGCCCTTGAGTATTCAGAATTAATTTCTTAAACCTATTCTGCTGCCAGGACATTTTGTGCCAAATAATCTCCGTGGCAGAGGCAACATGGTCATGTGAAGAAGAGTCACTAAACCCTTCTCTGTAAAGTCAGGTGATGAGCAAATAACATTTAATGCCGTGGTAAACCTTGACATTTAACATGAATGCAACCCAGAGTTTACCTCCTGCACTGTGGTGCTTTGTGGCTTTATTTAGGTTTTCCCCCTTTAAAAGGAAGTAAATATATCTTGTACATCCCTTTTCTTGTGTTCTTATGTAGATCTCCTTTCTTTGTGACTTCATCTGCTGGATGGGATGAAATATACCTCCCTAAAGTGCAGTTTCAGCAGCTAAAATTAGCCTTGCAGGACCACAGTCCATAGATAGATTTGGATAACTAACCGTGTGGATCACCCTTTGGAATTTGCAAAAATCCTGGCTGTTTCATATGGGAGATTTTGATCCAGCAAACCAGGCTGTATCTTGGTTTATTTGATCCCCAGTAACATGGAGAGCAGGGACTGATCAAACTGAAGGTTGATCTGCATGTGAGTCCTTATTAATGATACCAACACCACACCCCATGGAAGAGCTGACCAGCCCCTGGGTAGCTTTGTGGAGGATTTTTTTGCTGAGCTTTGTGTTTCCCCTTTCTCTCCATGAGGCTCTAGATATTTTCTGCCCTTTTTTGGCTTCCTACTCCCATGCAGGTGGCAAACACCACAAATCCTGGCAGCCACACTGGAGCTGGGAAGGGTGCTAACATTGCAGCACCATCCCTGCCCAACACCGAGGGTTTTCAGGTTCTGTGGTGCCTCTCCAAGCCAGCAGTGCTCCTGTGGTCACTTCCCTGTGTGCAGCTTTTATTTTGAAAGCGCTTCCTGACATTGTAGCTTTGTCTCCTGCCAGTCTGGGGACACCACTTGCATTTACTCTCATTTTCAGGGACTGCTCTGTGTCCACTTCTGCCATTAGTGTCAGTGCAGTGGTAAAATGCTGTTCCTCCAAGTTGTCTCCATCTTCCTGTAAGGGCAGTTCATGCATCATTTGCTATAAAGGTTCTGATAGCTCAGCAAATGTTCGAAGACAAATTGATGCTCTTTTGTGGCAAAAGGCCCAGTGCATAATTTTCCATTTACTTGGGATAATGTGGCCTTGGATAACCGAGTCCCAGATTTACTGGTGCAGGATAGAGTGTCTAAGGGTTTATCCAGCCTCAACCCCCCTTTTTTAAATACTGTCATTTAATCCTGACAAGCAGGCAGAGGAATATCTTTGGTTGTGACCAGGCTTTCACTGCCTGCCAGTTCCTGGGTCCTAAACTGACTCATCAGTCAGAAAGATTAATAACTGCTCTGCTGGATGATTTCACTTGTCATGGCACATATCCATTAATGGAAAACAAATATTCTCTGGAAAATTGAATGCAGATTGTGGTATAGTGGCCAGCCAAGTCCTTCTGGCCAGATGCAAATTTAAAGCAAGTATTAAGTGTCCCTTCAAAGCAAGGACTTCAGGTTGCTTGCTGGTTGGCAGTCTTCCATTTTTCCTTTTTTTAAGAATTTTTAAAAAGTATTTCCTTTTATTTCCTTTCAATGGGGACGGTTCCCCTACATCTGGAGCTGCAGTGTGGATTTTTTGCTGATAGAAGTGTTGCTGGGAGGATGTTTGCAGCTGAGCTTGTCTTCCCAGCACTAATGCCTTTTAGCATGTGCAGGAGGGTTGAGGGTGTGAAGAAAGAAATGCAGGCGAGCGGGGCAGGAAAGCTTTGCCTTACAGCAGCCTGACATGTTTAAAAAATAAAGAATACCCCTGAGGAGCTTTGGTATGCCAAGTGTGCTAGTTAAATTAGCATGGAGTGCTCGTTTGTGGCAAGGCTGCAGAAGTGGGGGAACGCAGGGCTTGGAGTGCAGCTCCCCTCTCAGAGGCCCCTTTCTGCTCAGCAGCTCCAGCAGAGCTCCCACCATCTGGAGAAAGCATGGGAAAGGGGGATTGGGCTTGTTCCCTTCCTCCCACCCCCACTCCTGGCTGGGAGAGGTCCCAGAGCTCACTTTGCACAGCGGGGCTGAGCCCCTGCTCCTGGGTTTGGGAAAGCAGCACCTGGGAGCTCCCCCAGCCCAGGGAGCTTAGTGGGCTTGGGGAGGGCTTGTAAGGATGGGTTTGTAAAGGATGGGAAGGTTTGTAAAGCTGGGAAAGCCAAGAGGGTTTGTAAAGGATGGGAGAGGGTTTGTAAGGATGGGTTTGTAAAGGGTGGGAAAGCCAAGATGGTTTGTAAAGGATGGGAGAGGGTTTGTAAGGATGGGTTTGTAAAGGGTGGGAAAGCCAAGATGGTTTGTAAAGGATGGGAGAGGGTTTGTAAGGATGGGTTTGTAAAGGGTGGGAAAGCCAAGATGGTTTGTAAATGATGAGAGGTTTTGTAAAGCTGGGAAAGCCAAGAGCGAGGGGCTACTTGGGGTATCTGTGGTGCAACCCTTGGGTTTAGCTGGTGTGCACCTCATTTTATGTGCCTGATGTTTCTTGGACTCTGTGTGGCTTGTTTGCCAGGATAATCACCCAGCAGGGAGTACCTATGGAGCAGAGCAGGGGGAAAAGTGGAAAGAAAAGCCTACAAAGAGCAAGTTCCTACCAGACCCCGTTAGAAACAGTCACACCAGTTGTGAAAGTTCTTTGCTTTAATCTCAGCATTCTTTGTTGTATTCTTTTTGATCAGAAGGAAGTTATTGTTTCAATCAGGAGGAAGCAAATAAATGTTCTTTAAGGAATTTCTGCATGGGAGGAAAAGAGATACTGGTTTGAAAACCCAAGCCTTTGTTCTAGGTTAGCTGATACAGATCTATGTCTGAATTCCCAATATTGGGGCAGCAGTAAGAAACTTGGGCTCTTTCCAGATATTTAAATTATTTCTAGTAAGTTGGCATTTGTCACCAGTAACAAGGATTTATCAAAAAATCCTTATGGGTAAAATTGCATTCTTTTGCTTGATTCATGCAGGTGGGAAAATGTGGCTAGATATGGTGTTGGAATGTATTTATTATTTTAAACTTTATTTTATTTAACAGAATTGGTTTGCATTTTTGGATTTTAGGCAGGATTTTTCAAATAAAAATAAACTGGGAGGGAGTTAAGTACTTACAACTTCCCTTTCCTCCCAGGAACATGACTAGAAATAGGTATTATTCACACTAACTCAACTTGTGACTGCTGCAAGTGTGTCTGTAGCATCCAAGTTTGTTGTACCTATATATGTGGATAGTATATGGAGGGGTTTAGTATTTATTCTAGGTCTACCTTGAACAGAAGCATTGCATGGAGATTGACTTTTAAAAAAAAATTAATCTCATGCATGTATAATAAATTCCACCCCCTTTCAAACCCACTCATGCACTTGGATTTCTAATGAATAAGCCTGCATATTTATTCATGAAGATTAAAAAACTGTACAGATAGAGGCAGCTGGTTGCACTATTTTTTTTTTCATTAGTATTTTTGTTCTGTAAATCTGCTGACCTGTGATCAGTAGTAAAGAGGAAACCCTCTGATTAACTTAGGCTGTTTGCAGATTGGGACATACAAAATGGCTCAGCTATTTACTGCTGAGGTACAGAACATGGTTTTGTTGAGTGGGATGGACAGAGGGGAGCAAGTGGGACAAAAAAATCACCTCTTTATAATTTAACAATGTGCCAAGCATACAAAATGACTTGTTGGCAAGGTATGCCTTGGTAGGTATGTGTCACCACATTTCTCCTCACAGAGAAAAGCAAGGCACAATCCTTCCCAAGAATATTTCTGGGATTCACATTCTCTGAACCTCAGAGAAAGGAAAAACAGTTCTTATCATTTGCTGTGTCTGTGTTTGTGCAAAAGTAGAATGCAATAGGAAGATTATTTACCCAGAGTGATGGTGTTTTGTTTCCTTGGCCTGTGAGGCCTAAGTGTGTGTGTGTGTGTGTGTCAGGACTGTGGGCTGTGAGTCACGAGATGAGTGCAGTTCAGTGCTTGGCAGATTAAGTTTAGATCTAATGTAACATAGTGTAATATAATATAGAATAATATAGTACAATAAAGTAATTAATTAACCTTCTAATAAGATGGAGTCCCCCTCAACATTTCTGCCTGCCACGGGGATCCCTACAAACACTACAGGGATGTCCCTGGCTGGCGTGGCCTGCCATGGCCTGTGTGACCCCCATGTCTGTCCCTGCAGGCCCTGCTGCTGTTGGGTGGCATTGCTCTGTCCTGCCTGGCTCTGGACCTGCTCTTCCTCCTGTTCTACTCCTTCTGGCTGTGCTGCCGCCACCGCAAGAGCGAGGAGCACCTCAATGCTGACTGCTGCTGCACGGCCTGGTGCGTCATCATCGCCACCCTCGTCTGCAGGTACGGCCATCCCCGTCCTCTGTGTCCTGAACCATGGCCTCACGCTCCAAATAATGCCTCAGGGTTTAGATTTAATGTTTTTCAGGTTCTGTGCTGCTGTAATGTGGGGTCTGGGGTTTGTATTAAGGGGATGGTGAGCTCTCTGCACAGAGCAGGGAGATAAAACAATTCCTTCTCTAGTTGGAGACCAAGGACAACTGATCCAAATCTCAGGCCCGAGAGCACAAACAGCGTGGACTAAAGAGAGAGAAACAAGAAGGATGGGACTTCAAATCCTAAAGCTATAATTGACAATTAATTCCAATATGCAAATTTCCAAAACTTATAAAAGTGAGTGACCCCATGAGCAGTTATAGAGGGGTTTGACAGCTGGCCTGCAAGCAAAGTTGAGTTCATAGGAGAAATAACAATTGATGATTTTTGAGTGTATCCATGGAAAGGAAGAAGACAAGGCCATCAGCATGGAAACAGATTAGAAAAGATAGCTTTGCACCAATTAATATAATCAGTTATTGTAATGTAGTTAATGACTTAAGATCACGTTTTGTTAAGAGTATATAAGCTGGAGAACATGCAGAATAAAAACTTTTTTCTTCTTGGACCCTAATCACGTATGTATATGTCACGTCTGACCTAACAATGACAACCTGTCATTGATTTTGTGACCATTTTGGTTCATCTTGGGTGCAGCCCTGGCTGGGCTCTTATACTGCCCAAGGTGGATCCATGGAGGTTATTCTTTTAATAACTCCCTACTTTATTCTTTAACTCCATCAAGCTTGTGTTCTAGTGAAAAAGTTCTGTTAGTTATTGTTGTTGTGTCAAAATGTTGTTAACCTAGCTCTATGTTCTAATCATATATAGCTAGAAATTTGAGGCTTGCCTGGGAAAACCTCAGTTCTCTTCTTTTTCTAGTAAATTGCTCAAGCAAGACATTTTAGCTTCTATCTAATTGGCTGTCCTTAAGTTTGAGGTAAAGTCCCTTAGGTCCTATGAAGTGTCTTTTTGCCTAATCAAAAAGAGAAACTTCTGGGCTTTTTTTCCTTTTTAAGGAGACAAAGGATAGTTTTGTCACTCTGTAAACAAGAAGCACATTCCTACATTCTAGGTCAGCATTCACAAGGCATCAAAATGCTCTGCCTGTACTTGGCGAATTTTGGCAATAATCCCTCTTTCTTTCATTTGATCTATGTATGTTTTTAAATGTCTATAATATATTTCCTTCCTTTCTGCTGCTTGCAGAGCTGCCTGGTGGTTTGAGCAATGTGAAAAGGAATAGTTAATGTCCTGCTCTTTGATACTTTTCAAGTGATAAATCAAGGACCCTCTGTCCTTGGGAGCTTATCACTTAAACAGGATGGATACAGCTGAAATATTTATCAGCTCTAAATGCAGATTTTCTCAGAACTTGGTGTCCAGAAAGAATCACTATGTGTGGGAGAGTAGATTAGGAAGAAAGAGTCACAGCTGATTCTTTTGGGTTTGGAAGGATTGGTGTTTATGTGGAGGGAATGTTCAGGTTTTGTAGCCTGTGTAGGACACTGCTGCATTTTGTTATCTGCATTTATGTTCCATCTCCAGGGGCTGCTGGTAATGGTGCCAGGGTCAGCAGTGTTTGGTGTTATGACTGAGCAATAGGAGCTTTTGGAGGTGAGGTGGAAAGAAAGATTGCTGAAAACCAAGGGAAAAAATCAGTAATTAGTGGAGAATGGGTGCAGGAGAATTTAAAAGGAGTTAATTCCCTAGAAAGTGGCTGATGGGGCATCTTTTGGATGTGTTTGCAGATATGGAGGGAAGGAGCCTGTGATCTTGTTTTGGCTTGGGCAGAATGAGTCCTCTGGATGTGTGCCCTGTATCAAACACTTTCCAATTTGCGTTTCTCTCCAATTCCAAACATCATCTACTCTTGCCCAAGGCTCCAGGTGGTCTCAGCTGCCCCTCTGTGGGTCTGGCAGGTCTGGGAGCAGTCCCCCAGTCAGAGAGGAGGGAGCAATGAGGTGATTGTATTTGGCAGTGCCTTGTGGCTCTGTTTTGGCACTGGGCTGCTGATGGGTGCTGGGTGTGCCGTGTATCTCTGTGCAGGTGAGGGGTTCCCTGAAGGCCAGGCTCAGCTGCTCAGGAGCAGAGTGTGGATTTGTGTGTTTGCTCTCTCAAGGCACTCACTTCAGAGAACAGCAAACCTTGCAGTGTTGGAACAGACAGAGCAGAGCAGACATTCTGTGGTGAGTTCAGCAGCTGGGGGTGGATTTGCCTGCAGAAGCAGGGGCTGAGGGCTGAGTAGGAGACCTTGTGTACCAGCCAGGATTGCTGCAAGGAGCTCTTCTATGCTCTGCTGCTTCCCAGTAGGTGCCTGGGGTGGAAAGGCAAACCACAGAACAGCTTGTAAAGAAGAAATCTCAGCCTTATTCACCTTTATTTTTGTGATCAGCTCTATCCATTCCAATCCACTGAGAGAACTGTGGTCCTAACCCTTTCTTACAGAAGCTCTGCTGATGCTATTTATAGTTGTGCTGCTGCTACAGGCCCTTGTTAGCCATTGTTATGCAGCAAATGTGACCCAGGCAGCTGCTGCCCTGTGGTAGCTGTGTTTGTTTTTGGTTGTGGAAAGGGTGAGAAGGAGGTATTCTGCACTTCTCCAGAGCATCTGTGAGATAATTTAACATTGGAAGGGCAGCATATAAATTCTGCTAAACTTGATGTGACTCTGTCAAATCCACAAGCTGGAAAGCTGCTTAGGCTTCCTCAAAATCTGAGCCACTTGTTCCCATCCTTGGTGTACAATTTGTTTCTGCAAGTATTAAATGCAGAACCATATAAAACTAAGGTTCATAACACAAGGTTCTATCTGAACATACAGTGATATTGGATGATCATTTTTCTTGACTTTTTAAATTAGCTGCTTAATTTCCTCTCTGAAATCAGCTTGCTTGAGCAAGAGCAGGTTGGTACCACCATGGTGAGGGAGGTGCTGCTGCTCTCCTGCAGGGCTGAGGTTGGTTTTCTGCCTCTCTGCAGCAGCTGGATGCCACAGTGCCCCCAGAGCAGTGTCTGTTGATGCTCTGAGCTCAGTCTGTGCTGGGAATGCACATACAGCTCCCAACAATCCCACTCCAGCTGCTGGAATCCACCTGGGACTTCTGCTAGCACTGATTAAAGATTAGCCCACTGGATAGATCCTGTCCTATCCCAGCTGTGTCATACACACCAGAAGAGCCAGAGCAGCTGTTCTGATGGGGAATGAGGCTGTTCTGACCCTCTGCCTGCCCTGGGAGGCAGTTCTGTGCCTCTGGCTGGGTGCTGAGGCAGTGAGAGGTTCCAACCAGCAGCAGGTTTGCTCTCTCTGAGCACTTGGAAGGGGACTCTTGTCCTCCTAGCTGAGAGCTGTTAACTCTGGTGAGTCCAGCTGTGCCTGGAACATGTTTCTCTGGGTTCCCTCAGTGCCAGGGGGCTGTTTGAGCTGTGAGTGCTGCTGTGTGCTTGGCTGTTTCCTAATCACTCACAGCAGGGAGAATGCTGAGCCAGCATTCTGAGGCAGAACTGGTGAACAGGAGCTTCCAACAAAATGTCTCTAGTTGATCTAGCCACAAAGCTGCAGGAATGCTTAGCCTGGATTTTTGCATTAATGCTTCAGTTCTAGTCCTCACCAATTTTGATTGGTTTCTGTGTATGTGGAGTTGTCCTATAAACCATCTCACCCACTGCTTAGGTGATGCTTCTTCTCCCAGAAGGGACCTCAGCTCCAAAGGTGGGGAGAAAGCTTTGTGGAGAGGGCATCAGGAAGAAATGGGTGCAAATAAATGGTAAAAACTTGTTTTATGAAGTGCCAGTAATAGCACTTTCCCCTGGTGTGAAAGTGCAAGGTGGTAATTAGGCAGACAAATTAACATTCCTCCTGAGAACCTGCAGTCTAAAAAGGGCTCTTCTTATGAAGTTCCTGTAATTAAAGATGACTTGGTGTAGTTAGATTATTCATTTCTAAGGATGTGATGTGAATGGCTAGTGCTCATCTTTGCAGACTGCTGTCTGGGTACCCAAGGGTCACAGTGTGTGTGTGGGTATCACAGCAGGAGGATCTCATCATAGAAAGCACAGAGAGATCCTCTCTGTGTCAGATTAATGCTCTGATGTTCAACATGTATAAATGCAGAAAACATTTTTTTTGTTTTTTGCAGGTCACATTGCAAACAAATTCAGAATTACACTTCCTTTATTTTTTCTGGTTCTTCAGCTAGGTGTCCAAAGTACAGGTGATTCTTGCGCACAAACAAAGGGAAAGCTGCTCTCCAGACTTGAATTTCTGGAGTCTTGCTGAAAAGTGATACTGCAGTGTGTGTACAGCCTGCAGGAGTTCAGATCCCACTGTGGTATCTGTAGGAAAAGACAGAAATCCTGGTGTGCACCTCTTCCATCTCACTTGTACAGCTCTTGGAAGAGCCTGTGGAGTTCTGTGTTCCCAGTGGGTGTCTGTGGGTGTGATATCACTGGAGGTGATGGCTTTAAGCTCAAAGTGCAATTTTCTTGACTTAAATAAGTGGGTTTCTTAAAACTTACCAAAACTATTGAGTAGCCAAGTGGCTTTTTAAGTGCAGTGTTGATTAGGAGAAACAACTTTTTATATGGCCTGTAAGACTGTGATAGATTGATTTTTAAAGATTTTATTCAAAAATATGGGTGAGAGGGAAAGCAGAGGAGAGGTGGTGGCAGTGAAAGTGACAGGAGACTGACCAAGGTAGGTTTGGGTGGAGGAATTGAGGATGGGACAGTCTGGATTTGGGAGGAGGAATTGAGGATTGGACAATAGGGATTTGGGAGGGGAGAGGGGTGTGTGCACTCAAAGGGGGGTAAAACAGAAGCCAGATTGGCAGAAATAGCCATGACTTTCCTATGGAAGCACTGAAAATGTGTTGGAGTATCTTCCAGAGGGTGCCAGGGTAGAGAAGAACTGTGTCATTCAGGAATGCTGTCCTTGCATCCAGGCTGTGTGACAGAAATGCCTCCATTGGGTGATGATTTTGTCCTCCTGTGCTGGGAGATGGATCTGCTCTATCTTAGGCCACTGTGCCTCCCAGGGTTCGTGCAAGAAGCCTTGTGATTTATCATGACCTCAAGGACTTATGCTGCTGGGTTAAGATGAGTTGATCTATTTTTATTTTAAAAGAATGCTCTTAAATAGAAGGAGCCTCTCTGTTTCCCTTTAATCATATAAAAGGTAGTTAAAAACTAGTGTAAATCCTTAAATCTGCTTTAAACAATAGCAACTCATATCAGTGTGTGTGGGCAGGGATTTGAAACAACTATTGGATTTAGATGAAGCCAAATGCAAACAAAGCTCAGCAGCAGCAGTTCCCCCCTGGCTGCCCTTCAACTCTGCCCCCAGCCCAGATTTGTGGGATGGGTTCCTTCCCTCTCTACCCTGATAGGAAGGGGAAAAGCCATAAAACTGCTCCTGGGGAAAGGACTGGCTGTGTAAGTGGTCCTTGCCAGCTCAGGGTGGGAATGCAGAGCTGGCTTTTGCAGGGCAGGGATGGAATAATTAACACTTCATGTGTAATTTGCAGTGAATGTGTGAGTCTCATGTCTGGAGGAGTTTATTATTGGATTGGATGGCTTTTATCCCAATTGTTGTGCTGTGGGGTTTGCTTTCAGGAGCAGTGGCTGTGCCTGGAGGGGCAGGGCAGTGGGAGCTGTGGTTTTTACTGGGCAGGATGGGAAATCTATGAAAAACTGCCAGGGTAGATCTACCTCCAGCGGGGCAACGAGTTGAAAGTCACTTATTTGTATTGCCAGCACTTCATCCTGGTACCTGTGAGCGACCTGGCTGCTCTGTGCAGCATCCCCAAGGATTCTGCTGCTGTTTCAGAGTGCTGTTTCTGAGTCTTTCCCACCAACACTGTGCTGCTGTGCCGGGAATACTGAGAGCCAAGCAGCAGATTTTGGGCACTTACCAAGTTTTTGCTGAAAGAATAGGCTTCTAGTAGCTGTAAACAGGATGAATAGAAATTGCTCGCTAATTAAAGGGGTCAGATCTGCCTATTCAATGTCCAGAATGTTCTGGAATTTATTTGGTGCCTATGGTGGAAACAACTGCTAAGGTTTTCTGCATCTCAGGAGGCTGAAAAGGTCTGTGTGAATTTCTTTGCTCTGATAAGACAAGGAGAAATCCAAGCCATGGTTTTGTCATTTCTGTGATGGGGTGCTGAGATGCCTTATCCTGGGCATAGCTCTGCATTTGTAATCTCTGTGCTTCAGGGGGAGGGGGGAGTGTGTCTTTTTTATCCCTTCCACCCCCGTGCACCCCAGGCATGTGTTATCAAGCTCTGATAATAGCTGCAACCAGAGGAATGCAGAGGGCTTTTCTCTCTTGAGTTATCAGCATAATTTGCATTAGGAAAATGTTTGAGGAGTGGTGTTCCTGAAGAAAGAGGCCCATTTCTTTTATTAATGCCGAATATTTAGTCCCATAGTTACATAGAAGGAGTCTTGTTGCCTCTCTTTCTGTTTATGAGGGCTGCCTCTTGTCCTTAGAAGACTCCTTGGTTTTTATGGGCCAAGCTCTCTATAATTTATGGAGATTCAATTGCTGGAAAAAGCATGAGGCTGACACAGATTTTCCTGGTGGATCTGCTTCCAGATCATGATCTTTGCTTCTATTTCTTGTCACATATGAGGAGAAATGTGACCAGGTGAACTGCACTGCTCTGCTCACTCTTTTGAAGCAGAACCCAGGCAAGGAGGAATGGATGTGTCTTCCTGCAGGAGAGGAGCAAGAGCAGGAGCAGTACACAAAGGTGTCGTGGAGGAACTAAATGTTTCATCCAGAATGAGTTTAGATTTACAGCAGGATCATCACCTCCTCCTTCCTCTGCACTGCCACAAACACAACCTTGGTGTCTTGAGAAACTTCCTAGAAAAGGTCCTGGGTGCTCTCAAGCTAAATATAACATGGGAACAGAAAAACTGTGTCTTGGTAAGGTTTGTTTGCCCTGGGTTTAGTTGTGTGATCCCTTCACAAGTTCTTTCCTCCTCTATTATTAGGAAATATGAGCTTGGGCAGAGGAACTGTGAGTTCCTGCAGTGATCTCTTCATAGAAGAGGTATTGCTGACTTGCATGAGATAATCCTCTGGTTGCAACTCATTTACAGGATCTTCCTCCTTTAAGTGAGGCTTAAAGCTAATATGGTTTACTTCATAATTGGGGCAGACTGATATGTGTGGACAATTATAGAAAATCAGCTGATAGGTGGTAATTTGCTAAGCAGCTGGAGTTGAATTGTGTCTGCAAGCTTGAAATTTGCTTGCTTTAAAAATAAATAAGCCTTTTGTCCCAGTAAGTTATTATGCCTCCCTTCCCAGTACTCTAAATCAGTGTGACACAAATGTTTCTAATGGGAAGATAAATCAAGATAATGTTCATAGATATTTCACAGGGTAGAGAAGAGGGCATGGAAAATGGATCTGGAGGAACCACCACCATGGGCAAGCAGTCAAAGCAAGCTCTTTGTGTCCTGCTTTAAAAAAATGTAATAAAATTTCATGTTCAGAGAAGGCATCTAGCACAGCAATGGCATCTCTCACAGGAGCCACTGGCTGGATTTCTGGTTCTGAGCTCCCAAACAGCAATCTAACAGATTTTAATTATTTTATCATAAATGAAATATGCTTGTAGTGTTCTGCTCTGGGCCCTGTGGGTGCTGCATGGAGAGCTGCTGGCTGTGAATATTCACAGGTGCAAACTGAGCAGCAGCACGACCGCAGCTCCCTGCGGGAGGGAGCGCCTTCCCTTTGGTGGGAGGTGACTCTGCAGCCGTCAGCCCTGTGTTACCCACTTGCCTTTCAGCTTTACCTCTGCCCTTTGGTGCTTTTCTTCCTCTGCAGTGCTGGAATTGCTGTGGGGTTCTACGGGAATGGGGAGACCAGCGACGGCATCCACCGGCTGACGTACTCGCTGCGCCACGCCAACCGCACCGTGGCCGGCGTGCAGGACAGGGTGAGTGAGCACCCCAAAAACGGGCCTGGGGCAAGGACCAGCCTCATTCAGTACCTCTCCTCCTGAATCTGGCTGTGCCTGAGTCTCTTCCTGTTTTCTCTCAGTATCTGGGCTCGGAGTTTGTGCTAAAATTTCCATTAGTGGCGGGGGGATTTCTTCCGCTTGTCTAAAATTAACCAAGCGAACGTGGCTTGTGGAGTGAAGTCTTCTCTTTGCCAGGCTTGAAAACAGCTTGTGATCAGCTCTCTCCTCCACACCCAGGAGAGGGGGCAGGCCAAAGCAGACAAATCTTAGTAAAATGTAGCATTTGAGTACCACTGGTTGTTCCTGTGCTGTCTCTAATCTCATGGTATCATACTGCAGCCCTGATGTAGAATGTGTGCGTGTGTTAAGGCTCAGCTGAGGTGCCATCACTGCAAACAATCTCTCTTACAAATGCTTTCAAGTTGCTTTTGAGGGGTAAGCAGTCTGAGCCTCTTAAGACAGAGGGCTGGTAATCTGGAAGCTGTCCATGACTTGTTGGGAAGAACGAATTCCCTTTTACTTCCTTGGCTTCCTGTACTGTAATTTTTGGGTTTTTTTTAATTTCTTGTAGGTACTGGACACTGCAGTGGCCCTGAACCAAACAGTGGAACCAAACTTGCTCGTCTTGGAGGAGATGTTCAAGAAGCAGACAGACTACCTGCAAATTGTCCAGAAACTGCAAAGTCTCTTGGATAATCTGGTCAGGCAAACAACTGAGATCCCCTTCTGGAAGAATGACGAGCTGTCTCTGGAGGAGCTGGCAATTCAGATTGACCTCTATGACTGGTACAGGTGTGTAGCATACTGCACTGTAGTGGTTGGTACATCTGCTTTGGCCTGTTTTGCAAAAATTATGTGCATGTTCTGAGTGGCTGAGCCAAAGGCTCTGTTTATTGCTGCAGGTGCTCTTGGCCCACAGAGCTGATTTGTTTCTTACAGCAGGACTGCATTCAGTTTAAACCAAAATGCACAGCTTTTTTTCCTTAAGTGTCTTTATTACCAACTGATGAGAAATTTATTCTCAACATACAAAATCTGTAGTTTGTGTTCTAGCACTGGGGAAAAAAATAGCCCCAGGTATAGCTTCTTCTCTGTCCTAATAAATGCATAAGGAATGCATTAAATAGAGTAGAAAATGGCACTAGTTCTGTAAGTTAATTCCACAGCCTAACGTTCCTTTTTATTAAACATATTAAATAAGATATTGCATCAGTTGTATCCCACAAAAGAAAATCTCTATCCAAACATGTGGAATAAATAATTGAAACATTTCCTGACAAATATCTAGGAAGTTCAAGAAGCTGCAATGCCTTTTCTTCCTCTGATGACCAGTGCATATGACATCACACTAGAAAACACTAGCAGTGTCATTTCTCAACAACTGTTTGTGCTGAGCATGTTGTGTAAATTCTTTTACCTGCCTCAACTTCCAATCCCACAAATACCCTGACCTCTCTGAAGATTAATCTTTGGAGGTCGTTTTGGGGAAGAGAAGGACTGTTTTCCCCAGAAGTCACAACAGCTTCTTGATCTGTGCTTTTTACACCCCAGTTTTCCTTTGCAGACCGTGTTTTTGTTTGCTGCAGGTGGCTGGGATACCTGGGCCTGCTCCTGTTCAATGTCCTGATATGTTTGCTGGTGCTCTTTGGGCTCATTAGAAACTCCAGGGCCATTCTTATGGGGTAAGTCTTGATCTGGGGACTGGGCACAAGGAAAGTCAGCTGAAAGCCAGTGCCTGCTAGTGGGAACCTCTACCTGTTGTCAGCTGATATCAAGGACTTCTGAAACTGAACATCTTACAGTTCCTCTGAGTAGAGACACATTGTAGAGTGTAGCTGTGTGGAAATAGAGTTTCACACAAGAAACGTTCACAGGAAGGTTCTTGAGCTTTAAAATCACAGGTGAGGAGCTCATCCAGGCTGTCTGCTTTCCACTGATGGCCTTGGAAGCCTCCATTTGCTGGGAGATAATAATCTGAACATCCTTGCTTAAAATGACAGGCTTTGAAAATCCCCCCTTAATTCTCTGCAGTTGGGAAGGCATTTGTTAATTGATGATAAGCATTGCATGTGCCTACACAACCTGCAGCAGTGCCTTCTGTGTCTCTATCTGCTCTTGTTACCTGGGGCTGTCACACCTGAGGAAACATTAAACTGAGAACAAGCCATGGTTTGCACAGTGATGAGAAGGAGTCTTGTTGCCATGGCACTGCAATGTTAATGCATGCCTGTTGCTCAAAAGCACTGAAAATGCCCCATTACAGGAAAAAACTCTTCCTCTCCTTTTCTTGTAGCTTGGCACATTTGGCAAAGAGCCTGGTATCATAAACACAGTAATGGTTTGATTACTGAGATGGCCAGGGGTTTCTCCTGGTTCGTGGTGGTGCCATTAATAATTGGAATGTGGATCCAGATTTATTATTTACCAGATGATTTCATACCTGGCAGGTTACACAGACAAAAGTCCAAGTGGATGCACAGATGGCAGACCCAGGGCTTAAATTAGAATCTCATTCCCTGTTAGCCAGAAGTTCATATTAAGGCATTCCCTAAAGGGAGCACATGGCATAAAGAAACAAGTGTATCACAGCCAGGCAAGATGGTGAAATGCCAGTTTTAGATCTTTTAGCCAAGCAATCAGTTACTGACCCAGTCATCTTCATTTAAAGGAAAACAACAAATGTGTCTTATTGATTAACATGCTCAGCTGGAGGCACCAAGCTGTGTTGTCCTTATGTCATAAACCCACAGAACCTTGCTGATCCATGGCTGCATCCATTTGGAAAAGGCATAACAAAGTCTTTAGTGTCTCATTTCAGAGTGCAGCACAGATGTCAGTCTGGTGAAACTCCCTTACTTCTGCAAGATGAGGCATAGATCCATTCACAGAACAGGGATTATTTGGAATTAAAATAAGTTAGCAAACTGAGGGATAGTTTGTTTATTTATTTTTTTAATGGAGGCTCATAGGTTTACTTTTTTAAAGCTCTAGTATTCAGTCAGACAAATGTAGCAGAAAAAAGATGTCCCTTCCTCACAGAGATGGTTGTACTAGGTTTGAATAAAGAATGTCTTGGTTATGAACAGGTTTTTGTATTTTTCAGGGTGTGGGTGGGAAGGGATCTACTTATGTTTCAAAGCTTGAGGGAAAAAGCATCCCTAAGAGAGCAAGCCAGTGTCTCTTTACTTTGAAGATAGAAAGAGATAAAATGAAACTGCTTATTAGTCTGCAGCCCTGTACCTGAGGGAGTTGAGGAGCATTATAGCCTAAATATCTCTACCATTCATGCTGACAGCAAGGGTGAAGAGCTAATGTGCTGGTTGGGAAGTGCAAAAGCCTTTTCCATGAGTGTGTGCTCCTGAATGTCACTGAGAGCACTGCTCTGCCATCCCTGTGCCTTGTGGCTGCTTGGCAGCAGACACATCCCAGGATTTCTGTCAGTAATGAGGTCCAGCTGTCAGAACAGAGCTTCAAATCTGCAGAGATGGACTCACATGGCAGTGGGGGGCACCTGAACTGCAGCTCCAAGCTGTTTGCCTGCAGGTGACTTTCTCTCCTGGAACTGTTCAGGTGCACCAGCTCAGAGCCAAGGTCTCCTAACAGGGGCTGTGTTCCCTCCCTCCATCTGTAGCCATGTGGTGCTTACACCAAACAACCTCATTTATTGCATGCACAGGAGAGATTTCTCCAGTTTTGCATCAGTAAGGTTTTGTGGGGTTTTCTCTATTTAGCATGTTTTTCTTTGGGTGTCCTCGGACCTGGAAAATGAAGTCTAGAATGGGAACAGTGAAATGATGGGACTGTAGTGAGCCTCCTGCCAATCTGACTCCCCTACAGCCCCCTCTGAGGCTTTGTGCCTTTGGTTTCCCTGCTAGAAGCAGGACAATACTTTCTTTCCCTATTTCTCCCTTCCCCTGCAGCTCTAGGGCAGGTAATGCAGTAACCAACAGCTGGATATGAACTGCTCTGGGTGCTGCTGTCCATGACATCTAAAATAGGATTGTTTATGTGAACATACAGTCAGTGGGTGATCATTTCTTGGGTTTGGTAATTTCTTTGGACTCCAAATAATACATCTTGTGAAAGGAGCTGCCTGAAATCAGAGCTGCTACATCTGCCATCTGTCTGTCTCCCACAGGGTGTGCTTGCTTGGGGTGTTTGCCCTGATTGTCAGCTGGGGATCCCTGGGCCTGGAGCTGGCTGTTGCTGTGGTGAGTGGCTGACATCCAAATCCCAGTCACCCTTTGCTGCAGGTTTAGCAGACACCAGATTAATGTTGTGCTGTGCCTGTTTTTAAAGCATCTCCTGATCTAAGTAGCTGCCCTAGCCATTTCCATCTGGGAGAAGTGCAGAGCTGCTCCTTCTCCATGGTGTGAGAGTCCAGCACTGCTGGGGTTGTGTAGAGCAGTGCTGCTGGGGATGAGAGACCTCAGCACCTGAAAACCCCCTAGAACAGAAAATTCCCTGATGTTAACCTGGCCCAACTGCTCTTTGATGCTGATGTGTTTGATATTCCTTTTGTCTTCCATCTCTCCAGGGCTCCAGTGACTTCTGTATCAACCCTGATGCTTATGTCTCCAAAGTGGTTGAAGAGAATGCAGTGCTCAGTGCTGGTGAGTGCTGGGATGGCTCTGGCACAGGGTTCTGCAGCTCCAGCTGTCACACAGGACCATGGCAGTGACTGAGAATTTTAGGCTGTGTTTGAAACAGAGCAGCTGTCATACAGTGGGAAACTAAATTTGTGGAGCTCTGGAAAAACAGCATTCTGGTCAGAAGTGTCCATGTATGCATCAGAACCACTGTCAGAACCTTTCTCCTGCCTTCACCTTCAGGTGGAAATAACTGATAAAATGGAATAACAGAAGTCCCCAGATTAGTGGAATTATTTTGCTTTAAATGTAGCACTCTTGAGGCTTATTCTCCTCTCTAAGTGGCAGTAGCAGTGTGAAGTTTGAGTTATCATTTTTAAAACTTGCTCTCAGGTCTGTATTCCTGAATCTAGCCATTCCTATTTTTATATCTGTTATCAACAATCTGTATATAATTTTTTTCTCTTAATGGTGCCTGTAAATAGTAGCCTCTTTGAAGGGCAAGTGAATGGAAACAGCCACAAAGAAGTTTGAATTTCCCTTTCCATTATAAATGCAGTATTTTGACTTCTATGTGTATCCTGTTCCACTTGAAGCATGTGCCTGCTTGTATTTGATGTATTGGGGGCTTGTTGCTCCTAATTTAGACTGAAGTGGTTGCTGAGGTGAGAGGTGCCTCCAATTTGAACCTCAGTGGGGCAAAGATGGCATTCAGAACCATGGCTTAACAAAAAGGTGATTGGGTGCCTGCCAACAGAGATACAATAAGGGCTGAAAAGAAAAAGTATTTTTAGGACTGAGTTGGCTGCTTAGTTTACAAAGTTAACTTTTTTTCCCCTGTCTTCTCCAGTAGCTCCTTTATGTAATTCTGTGTATGGTAAGACACAAATAGGAAAAGACAGTGATTTGTAAAAGGAGTGACTTGTTTTTTTCTGGTCCTTATTTGGTGAAACCAGAGAATTTCTGCTGTGTGTGCAGAAGATCTGTGCTTAGCCAAATGCTGTCTCTCAATGTGCAGCTGGTAGGAAATTAGGTATGGAGCTATGGCTGAGGATGCAGGGATTGGAAACAGTGAAAAACATAAATGTCTGGAGGCAGAATGTAGTATAAAAGAATATGTACAGGTTGATCTTACAACACTACAACTTATTTTTGGAGTGCCTTATTTATTGATTTTGTGAGAAGGATAGAGCCAGGCAGCTCTCTTGGCAACAAAGAAATGTAGTGGGGGAAGAGAATGAGTGTTTAGCATGAGATGAAAATCCTCTTTGGCTGTGAAGGGGACAAGGATGTGGCTTCAGGTGCTAGGCTGCTTTCCTGGCTCTTCAAGAGGCAAGTGGGTCAGTGGGGCCAAGGGGAAATGTGTGATGCTCCTGCCAGCTGTGAGCTGTGATAATTTGGTAACCCAGATTAGCTCTGGAGTTTGGTAACAATCAGATTGACCCTGGGGAACCACAGAAAGGCCCCTTTGTGCTACTTCTCCATTTCAGCTGTGCTTGTGTGCTGGGCTCCTGTGGGTTTCCATTGATCAGGATCAATGCTCATTGGGAGGCTCACAGGCAGTGCAGGGCTGGCCTGCATCCATTCCATCCCTGCTCCTGCATTCCCCAGCAGGGACAGTTGGCTCCCCCAGGGAACACAGGCTCTGCTCCTGCAGCAGCACCGAGGAACAGTTGTTAAAGCTCCTTAAATAACAGTGAATGGCTCTGAGGGAAATGGGGAGGAGCAGGTGCTGCCACAGGCCTGGGTTGGAAGGGTGGCCCCTCCATGGGGGCTGAGTCTGCCAGTGATGCCTCAGGTTTCAGCTTTTCTGTTTTTCACATTCTGTGCTGCTTTAGTGTGTGGGTCTGGGCTTCATATGAGGGATGGTGAGCTCTCTGTACAGAGCAGGGAGACAAAACAATTCCTGCTCTAGCTGGGGACCAAGGACAAATGATCCAAATCTCAAGCCCAAGAGCATAAACAATGTGGACTGAAGTTTGGTTGTGCTGGGTCAATTTTTCTCTTTAATCACTACTTTTAGTTGCTGTTGTTACATACAATGTATTCTAAGGCTCTCCATGCTCTGAAGTTCAGACTGGGACTGAGTCATCAATATTTGCTGGTGGTGGTTGTAATTTTCACAGAAAAATAACTCAGTTGAATACTGAGCAACCAGTATGTTAATATTCTTGTTTATGTATTAATTACTGTTTTTCAAATCTAAGTGGAATTAATGGAGCTGAGAATAATCTGATTAAGTGCATTATTACTGTCATGTTTTTAGCTAGAGAAGAGATGTTCTTGTTTTGCAGATAAAATGTACTGCATTAAAAAAATGATGGGGGGAGAAAAGGGAGGCAAAAAACTTTAATGCAGGGTTTTGGGAGAAGCAAATACTTAAATAATTTTGCAGAAGAGGCTGATGTATGTGCCTAACTCACCTTATATTCATTAACTGAGATAAAGCCAATGGAACTGAACAGTGCCTGTATAATCAACTCCTGCTGCTAGTAAAAAGACTTGGTGCAGCCAAGATGTTCATTTTCAAAGCAGGAGGCCATCTTCTAGTCCCATTCTTTTTCACTGATATTATGTTATTATCAGATGACTTGTTGCATAAAATTAAATAAAAAGGCTCAATCTGTCTAAACAACAGGAAAAGCTTTCTCCAAATTCTCTTCTTAGAAATCTGCTTGGTGAACAGGCACTCCCTTAATGTGAGGGAGCTGTGAACCTCAGGGGATGGATGGTGGAGCCTTTTAGCTGTGCTCCAGGCTGGATGCTGAGGCTGAGCTGCTCAGATGAGAGCAGGAAGGGTCCTTGCTGTGCCCACCCTCCCGGCTGACCTCCACTGGTGCAATCGCACAAGTGCAGAGCTGGATCAAAGGACTGACACCATCAGCACCTCTGTTTCTCTAGAAGAGATCAGGACAAAGCCTCAGCTGGGGCAGTGGGCTCTGCACAGCCATTACCTGAGCCCAGATAATTGGGATCTTTCACTGCAGGACAGAGTTTGCCCAAAGCAGGGCTCTAGAGAGTCCTGCTGAGCTGATGTTGGCATTGAGAAGCTCTTTTCCTGCCTGCTGTTGTTGGACTCCTGATTAGCAGAAAGCTTTGAGTGGAGGGTAAATGGGAGAGTTGCAAGCTCTTTGCTTTTACCAATATGAGAATAGGATGCATCAGAGAAATTCAATATTATGCAGACACCTCCCTTTGCTGTCAGACTGGTGCCTTGGGGAAACAAAACTCCTGGTGGAGAACCTTACCTGGGCAAGGAGCTCCAGCCAAAAGAGCTGCCTTGCTTTGACACCACAGGTGCTGTCTCTGATGATTGAACCCTCAGAGACAGCCTCATCTGGATGCATGGCTAAAATAAACAGTGCTAAGAGAATGTTCAATTGGAGATGAAGAAGAGCTGGGAAAAGCTGTTTCAGGTGGGAGGATTTTTGGGTTTTTTTGGAGCTAGGATCTTTTTTTCTCATTGCTCTCCTGCCTTTTGGCAGGTGCATAATGCCATTTTTGCATTTTGGCTGGGCTTTGAAGTGAGTAGTAGGTCTCCATGGTTGCAGAAGCAGTAAGTTGTTCTAGCAGCTGAAGCTGTCTTTAGTAGGAAGCTCTTCTTTCCTTTCTAGGAAAAACAGATTCTGCAAATAAAAAGCATTTTAGGTAGTTTCCCTTCCTTGCCTTCTGCTCCCACACTGCCTGTGCACCAGGGGTGAGTCAGGAGGATTGCTGCTAGCTACAGCAGGCATGGGCAGCTGCAGATGTGACCCTGCCTAACCCTTCTGCTATGAACTAGATTGCCTAAAGGCCAGCTTCAAAACTCAGATCAACCTTTAGGAATTTTCCTTGAGAGGAAAATGCACCAGAAAGATAATTCTAGAAAGAAATTGCCTGGAGCTGTTAGCAAAGTGCAAAGGATGGATTAGTGTAGCTGCTTTCTGGTCAGAAATAGGAGATTTGGTGATGTAAAGGATAGCCTCCACCAGGTTTAAAACAGGTGAAGGTGCTTCTTGCTTCTTCCTCTTTTCCTGGTGGCATTGGGGCAGGGGACATGGTCCTCTTAATTTCCAGGCTTTGCAGTACAGGATCACTTGAAATCATCTTCTCTGCCTGTTGTAGCCATAGATTTGAAGCAGCACAGCCTGGGTTCAGTGCAGGGCAAAGCTGCTCCTGCTGGCTGAGCCATTTTGGGAAGCACGTTTTATGTGGAGTGTCACACTTGTCAGCAGCAAAGCCAGTGCTACCACAGTGAATCCTGGCTGATCCTGCCTTCCAGGGTGAAGCAAGGCAAGCATTTATTTCACTGTACTGCTTTTTGCTTCACTTGTAACCAGCAATCTTTATCCTGAGCTTACAAGCTGCAAACTATGATATCAGGAGCTCTCATCTCTAATCTGCCCACCAGGGACGATCCAGAAGGCCCTCAAGAAACATTTCTAGAGCTCTGCATTAGCAGTATGTCATGCAATTTATTGCACTTAAAAAGGCAATGTAAACTTGATACCACTGTGGGAGCTTAGGAGAAACTTTTTAGTGGTTTGTTGGTTTAAAATAAAGAGGTGACAAGATCACAGCTCCTTTGGGTCACCATGTGTGATGCTGTGGGTGGCTGTTGCTGTTCTCTCAGTGCAGGTGTGTTTTAATCCTTTTTCACACAGCCATTGTGTGTGATTTATGAGCCAGGCAGGAGCAGCCCTTTCTTTCCTTGGACACTCACTCCTGTGGTGTGCCCAAAGTGAGGCACAAAGCAGCTCCTGCTGCCCTCCTGCCTGCCCACAATTTGCTAATTGCTGTTTAGAGGCTTGGCTGGGGAGGTGTGAGCTGTCCCAGAGAAAGAGTCAGTGGGAGGGGGATGGAGCAGCTGGCAGAGCTGCCCCAGAGCAGGCTGATGAATTATAAATAACAGCTGTCAGCTTGCATTGCCAGCACACAGGGGCTGACAGGCTGTGCTGGAGCACTCCTCTCCAGCAGGCTGCCTTGCCCAAAGGTGCATGAAATATTGATGGCAAGCATGGCAGAGGCAGGATGCAGGCAGATCTGCTTCCTTCACAGCTCTGCTTGCTCCTGGTTGTGCCTTTTACTGATTTCTGAGTTGGGAATCATCAGAATGGCTGTGCAGCCTGGAATATGCATTACTGAAAGGCACAGACAGAAGATTAAAAAGAACAGAGGAAAAGGTGCTGGTGGAGGGGAGAATGCAGAGGGTTTGTGTGTTTTAGGGCTTTTGTAGTCTTTACCATGCCAACATCACCCTTGATTTTGCTGAGCTAGCATGCTCATGTTCATCTGAAGAGGAACTGTAAATGTTTGAGGAATAATCTAAAGGTTTTTTGATGATCAAGTCTTTCAGAGCTCCCTTCCTTGATAACATTATTGAGGATGGCAGGGGAAAGCCTGGCATTTGCAATTTGTGTGTGCTGGCAGCTGATGTAATGTTGTAGAGGGCTCATGAGGGCACCAGGCTGGTTTGAATGAAGAGGAACACAGCTGTGTCTTCAAGCCTGGAAACAAATGATGTTGTTAGCAGAGCACAGTAACAATCTTATCTGGAGTTTATGAGTATGTCTCAATGTACTGTAGTTGAACTTGCCCTAGACTGATGTCTTGTCTTAGGTATATGTGATGGACAGTGCCAGCTTCTGAACAAAACTTTCTCTGTGTTCCATCTCACTTTGAGTGGAGCTGGGGTGATGTTTCTGGCCTGACTTTCTCCTCTTGTGTCTTCCAGAGACTCTCCGCTATTACATGTCCTGTAGTGCTGGGTACCCCAACCCCTTCCAGCAGGTGAGTGTGAGCACCCCAACTCCTTCCAGCCCTGCCTCTCCTCATCCTGCAGGGTGCAGGGGAAGTGCTCTGGTGTCAGCATGCAGCCAGGTACAGGGTGTTTGCTTTAGAGAGTGCTCTGGCTGCTGGTAAAGCTTTGGCAGCTGCTTCCCAGCTGTGCAGGAGGTGGCACTGTGATTTAGGGAGGAGGTTTTTCCAACTTCATCGTCACCACCTGCACAGCTTCAGGTCAGGACACCCCTTAGAAGGGCCTGTGTGGAATGTGGTGAGAGCCATGGCTTTGTTGGTGCTACCTCTGTTTACCAGGCACTTGTCTAAAAAGCAGCAATGTGGAGAAACAGCACCACAATTAATGCCAGGTTGGGAAACTGTAATTCCTGCTTTGATTCTCTTCTTGAAGGTTCTTTTGGGTTAAACAGTGCTAACTCCACTCCCAAATATCAGTTGCTTCTGTGGGTGAAGGAGTGCTTTCCACAGATGCCTCTTACAAACCTTTGATTTATCCTAAAGTATAAATGTGAGTCATTATTCTTTTGTGTGGGGGCAGAAGAAGAGCACCTGGGCCCATTCCAAACTTTGCTCTGTGCATCAGAGGCCAGAACGAGCCCACACCACCCACCATTTGGCAGACACCAGCTGCTTCCCCGTTTATATTTAGGATTTTTAAAAAATCTTGTCTTCCTCTGTTTTAAAGGGTGGGGTAAGAACACTTGGAGCTGTGGTTTGATGCACCTCTGCCATCTGTTGCATTTCTGGTTGCTCTGTGTACTCCCTGACATGCTATTGCATGTGAAATTCTCATGGTGCTTTAAAGGGATGTGAAGGCTGCACCCTAAAACAAACAATTTCCACTGTTAATATTATGTGTTTTTCATCCATCTGATTTAGTGAAAAAATCCAGCTGTGTTCTGTGGTGAGAAATTGAGTGCTTTGTGTCTTTTCTCTCTCCTTCCCTTCTGTCCTAGAGCCAGCCCCAGCTGTGTGTACATTTTTTGTATATGTATTTTGTTCTTTGTTTGTGGATTTGTGTTTTTTGGATTTTTTTTTCCTTTTGGCTCTTCCCTTCTCCTCTTCTCTCTGTCTGTACTTCTTCCAGTTTGCTAAAGGTCAAACTTAACCCTGTTGCAGCTGCACTCATGTCAGCTGGGACATCTTTAACCAGTATCATTCGTACAGATGATGCTTCAGTATTTGGGAAATAGGATTTCAGTCTTTTCCCAGGAGATCTGTTGGTCCGTGTGGCCTGAGCTGCTGAAACATTGCATGTTTTGTGTTGAGCAGAAGCTGTCAGGAAGTCACAAGGCTTTGGTAGAAATGCAGGACGATGTGTTGGAGCTGATGAGGTCAGCGAGCAAAGAGCACCCCACCTCCAAGGTAACTCCTCAGGTTTGCTCTCCTCGGCCTTTGGGGCTTCCCTCAGCTTTGTACAGAGCCCAGGACCAGCTCCTGCTAAGCATTCCCTTGCACTAATCACTGGTGTGTTGATTACAGGAGTATCTTACTCGGATCCAGGAGGTTTTGAACTCCACAGAGATCAACTTGCAGCAGCTGACAGCTTTGGTAGACTGTAGGAGTCTGCATTTGGTGAGTTTGGGTAGCTGGGCTTGAGCTAAGGAAGAGCAAAGGGAGTGTAGAGCCTGTGTTGGTTTGGAGTTCCAAACCTCTGGAAGAAGTTTACAACTTTTTACTTACTGATAATAGCAGAAAGGGGAATGAGAACTTGGATCAAGCTAGCTTTGAGTTTAAAGTTCAACACAGGAAGGTAGATAACATGCCTTCACACATCTACAAGCTGCAGCCATAGAGGCTTTCAGGTTTTTTGAGTATACCAAATAACTTTTTGCCTTTGCCATGGAGTGCAGTGCTTCAGAGCAGTGTAGCACAGCCTTGCTGTTGTCCTCACTGCCCCTCTAAAGGCAGAGACACAGACAGTTCATGGTTCTGTTCTTGGGCATAGGACACTGTGAGGGAGTTGAAAGGCTTAATGAAAAATATTCTATCTTCAGTTGGGTGGATAAGTTTGCCTTGGCTGTTTATTTCTCCTCCTCTTAAAGTCTTACTGTGGGCGGTTGAAAATATTTCTATGTCTAAATCCAAGCTGGTCTTTGTGAGAGGAAGCAAGGGTTGGATCATTTATGAAAAACACTTGAGTCCCTGAAATTAAAATAGAAATATGCTCTAGAAAAGGGAGTGTGATGTCTCTAAGTTGTTTCAGAGAGTGTAATCTGGAGAAGGGCTTTTGAGTAAGAGCTCAATGATAACTCGGCAGTGATCAGGAAACTCTGCTCCTTTCCCTCTGCAGGATTACATCCAGGCTCTGACAGGATTCTGCTATGATGGAGTGGAAGGCCTCATCTACCTGGTTCTCTTCTCCTTTGTCACAGCCCTCATGTTCAGCTCCATTGTCTGCAGCGTCCCACACACTTGGCAGCAGAAGAGGTACAGAGAGGGTTGAGATCCTGTAGCACTGTAGAGCTCTTTCCCAGTGAAGCCTGGCTGCTGGATTTGGGCCCATGAGCATATGGAGCTCATTCCCACATGATCCCAGGGGTGAGAGGGATGAGGCTTTATAAGCAGAGGTCTAACAGAAAAAGAAAGGTTGTGTTTTGCTCTGGCTGTGGTTGATACTGACATCTGAACCTTTTTGCACTGGAATACTCTGTGTGCATAGCATTGAGTATACTGCAGGGCTGTGAGTCAAGTCAGATGAACGATTATAGCTGTAACATAGAGGTAATGCTTGAACTATTGCTCTCTCTGTAAAATTCTTACTCTCTCACATTGTCTTGAGGCATTTGTTCTACTGTGGGGAAGAGAATTGGAATAAGAAGCAGTTTACACTTGCCTTTGTAGCTTTGCTCACGCTGAGGTGACTGACTTGCATAGATAACAGAAACCAGGAACTGTTTCTTTGTCAACAACATGGGCAGGTGAGGCATTGCAAATTGGAGCTGGTATTAATGATGATAACCAGATTAATCACCAAGTCTTTAGCAAACCTTTGCTTCACTGACTGGCTGTTGCACCACAGGCAGCTGTTAAATGGCACTGAGTCTTCTACTCTTGCAGAACAGCAAGAGGCTGCAGCAAACTCTTCTGTAGTCCTGATTTTTGTGGTAAAATAGAAGGCCCTGAACAACAGCAGGAAGCCAGAGCTGGCCCAGCCAGAGAAGTGGCTTTAGGAGGTGTCAGAACAGCCCCTGAGACTATGGCTGGGTCCTCACCTTTTTCACAGCTGCAGAGACCTTACCACAAAGAGCAGGCTGTTGGAAGGAGAAAGGTTTGGTGGCATCTCCTGTGCTGCCTCCCCTGTGGGCCCCTGCCCTGCCAGCCCCAGCAGGCTCAGGCTGCTGCTGCGAGCTGAAGGGCTCCCTCTGCATTTCATGGAGCACCATTGGTGCCCCAGGCTCCCTCTGGGAAGTGGAGGATGTCGTGGTTTATTGCCTGTGAGGGACTGTGCAGGCTGCAATCCCTCGATCTTCAGTGCCACCGTGTGGTGCAGAAGCTGCAGATGATGTTTGGGAGGTTCTGGTGATGGCCATGCTGTGCAGAACCCGTGCAGAGGGAACCAGCTGGCAAACAGTTCTGCTCTTCATTGATTTACATCCTGGCATTTTTGAGAAGATAAAGCCTTTAGACACAAATTTTGCAACTTAATCTCTGTAAAGACTTCTGTGATTTTGCTAGAAGCTGAAGCAGACCCTTTGCCACCAGAATGGGACTTCAGAGAAGTCTACAGGGGTTTATCTTTTAGAGCTCTTTGGACCTGTCTACAGGAAATGGAAGGACACAGATTGCAGTTTTGAAGGATGTTTCTGTGGGGTGCATGACACTACATTCCCCACTGCCTCTCCTCTTTGTTGTCTGTGGGGTTTTTTAGCACTGTACATTATGGGATGTGTACCCATCCTCTGGCTGTACAGCTGGGCAGCTGCAGAGCCGTGCTGAGGAGCCTGCAGGGAGGCTGGAGGGGATCACGCAGTGTGCACCTCCAGATGGGATCAGTGGGAGGGCTGAGTCACTGTGCTGTGGGCTGTGCTTCACGCTGCCACCCTGAGCCATCCCAAACGGGCACCAGCGTGGAGGATGTGGAAGATGACTGGGAGGCTCCTAGGATTGCCATGGTTTCCTGCAAACCCCACACGTGGGGTCACTGTAGGGTTCTAGGAGGAACTTTTTCTCCTTCTTGCAGAGGCTCAGATGATGATGGGGAAGAAGAATCAACTGCTCAAGGGAGCAGGCAGACACACGATAATCTGTACAGAGTGCACATGCCCAGCCTGTACAGCTGTGGCAGTAGTTATGGCAGTGAGACCAGCATCCCTGCAGCAGCACACACAGTCAGCAATGCTCCCGTCACGGAGTACATGTGAGTATGCCAGGGAAGCCTCTCCACAGGGCTCCCTCCTCATCCCTGTTGGCTCCAGTGCTGCACTTCTGACCTAGAGGTAAAAAGCAGTGAAGGATTTTGTTTTCTGATTGGCATCTTTGAAGGATTTTGTTTTCTGATTGGCATCTAATGGGAGAAGGGAATAGTGCTGCACTAGGAGGAGTTTGGTTAGACAGCATGCTCCAAAATGGGAACAGCTTTGTGCTCCAGGACTCAGGAAAATGTCTAAAGGAAAGAAGTAGGAAGGTGTTGTCTGGGCTTCTTATTACACAGTGATTCTGATCACCAGAAGACTTAATTCTTCATACAGAGCAGTCTTGCCAGAAGCCTCCCAAAAGACTGAGAGCCAAGAAAAAACGTGTGGGCTCTCTCTTTCTGCAGTATTTGCAGTCACCTCTGACATCTGTTGCAGTTTGGAGCTACCTAGTCCAGGTGGGATCTTCAGAGCTTTCTCCAGAAGTGCCTAACCCTGGTTACATTTGGACTACCATCAGGGCCCATCTTTTTTTGGGCTGCCACATCATTTTGTTTATCCCCTTAGACGTTGTCCTCATTTTATCTCCATTTCTGCCACTTGGCAGTTCTGATGCTGCAGGGAGGCAGATTTTCACAAGCCCCTATTTTTAAATCACTTGATGTGATTCATTGTGGGCCCTTCTGAGTAAGAATGTAAAAATAGTGCTCAATCTGAGGAAAATTATGATAGCTTTATGCCCTTATCTGAAAAAGGGGATCCATCTGGCCTGTAAGAAAAGCTTTGAAGGAGACTGACCTGACACAGTAGTTCTGGGGGTGAGGATGCCCTGCCCTGTGTCCCCACCAGAGACCCTCCCCAGAGAAGCATGGCAAGTGCCCCGTTACCATGTGTGTCTTCCTTTCCTAGGAGCCAGAATGCAAATTTCCAGAACCCCCGTTGCGAGAATACCCCGCTCATTGGCCGGGAGTCCCCACCTCCCTCAGTAAGTCTCTCTTTACTGCTCTTCTCTGCTTCAGCAGCTTTGGGGAATACACATTTGCCACTCCTGTGTACTCCCAAGGGAGCTGATTGTGCAGCCAAACACAGGATCTGGCCCATAATGGCAGCAGCTTGAATAGACAAGCTGTGTCTCACCTGCCATGGAGAATAAATCCCTGCTATGCTGCTTTGGACATTGCACAAGAAAAGACTAAATAAAACTCAGTCAATTAATGCTGGTAATTTTATGGGCCCAGTCCTGCCACCACTGAAGTGCATGAGTATCTTGACGGGTGACTTCAGCAGGATGATTCACTTGCATGCAGTGTACTTGCTATCTGTGCCATTGGTTCCTCAAGTTTAAAAAGAAACTTGTTCAAACTGTAAATTCAGAGTTATTGCTGAACCTCTCTCCTTAATCTGCCCTAAAGAGATGGTAGGATGAAACCTGTATTATTTTTTTGTTGAGATTTTTTTTTTAAAATCTTTCTTTCACAACTGTTTTACTTTCTTTGAAATCTATTTTTGTATTTAATTTCCTATGGAGGAAAAAAAGAAACTTTCATGGAAGGTTTTGGTATTTGGAGTGGCCTGATAGCCATTTCTGTATGCTGGATAAAACATGGGCTTGTCTTCATGGCCGGGTAAGAGCTAAATGAATCTTGCCCTCCCTCACTGGATCCTGTAAACCTGATTTACAGCAGAACCTGGAGAACATGCCATCCCAGTGCTCACTAACTTGGTGGTGTGATTACAGAGGATGAGTAGTAAAATGCCTAATGACCAACCAGTCTTCAGGTGTAGGTAAAGAAAACACACTCTGTGGTGCCTGGTTCAAACTGATGGGAAGAGGAGGAAGAGGAGGTTGGCGGATGAAGGAGTAGGAATTGTGGTGGAAATGAGGGCATCCCATTCATGGTTTCACTTCGAGAGGACCAGTTCATCTTGCTGTAGAGGAAGTGGAAATGTGCAGAGTTGATCCTTGTCTCTGTCCTTGGCCAGACCTCTTCCACCCTTCCCAAAGAGGTTTCCTGCCCTGTGCTCCGATCGCGAGCTCTGGTCGCGTTTTCCGCTCTCAGTGCAGTCCCTGACGTGCTGCACTGCCAGAAGGGCACTGTCCCTCTGCTCCTGCCAGGGCACATGTTCCTTCCATGTCCTGCTTCCCCTTGCCCTACAGCTCTTCTGCTTCAGAGAAAGCAAATCCCCTTCCACGGGGCTGGAGTGAGGCAAGGCATTCCCTGGTTCTTCAGTAGCTGTTTGTTTCAATGCCCTGAGTGGGAATCTGAGTCTTGGGGTTTGGGAGTAGATAAAGGGGTTTTTTTCTTCAGAATAACTTGAGTTGGCAGCCATCAGTGTGGGCTGTGGGGAAGAGCAGGAGCTGGGGAGGATGAGGGAGCAGCACTGCACCCATAGAAAAGGAGCTTCTCCCCAGATGAGAGGAGGAACCAGGCTATGGGGTAAATGTGTTTCCTGGAGGGATGTAGTAGACAGGCAGTGGAGAGAAGAAAAATGCTTTCTATTCTCATACTGGCAGGCAACAGGGAAAGGCTTTTCTGGGATTTTTGTATTTGCAGCTCTCCGTAGCAGGTGGCTGAGACCGTACTGAGGCAGAAGGAATGGTAACTTTTCATAGCAAGTTGTCTGTGGGAGGAGAGAGACAAAAAGGGAATACCAATGCACACATCCCTGCCTCTTTTTGGGAGGGAGGAGAGGGAGATAACCATCCAAGTAGGTTATGTCCAGTGGGCAGACAGAGCTGACCTATTCCATTTAGCTTTCTGTGAACAGATGGTGACAACTAAGATGTGATGATCCTGCTGCATTGTTTGTCCGTTACTTTTCCTGGCTTTTTGTTCGTTTGTTTGTGTTTTTCCTTCTCTCATTCCTTCTGATTTCTCCTTCTTGCCACAGGGATATCCCCTTAGGGTGCTAGAGCCCACCTTGTCGCTGGCACACACCAGGGTTTCACTTGCTTGCACTGTGTTTTTCATGCACGTTGAGGCTGCACTCTCTTTTTCTCTCTCTTTCTTGCGTCATCACAGTTGTATTTGGCTGCCATGGACAGTAGCAGCCATATGAGCTGGCAGCTTAAGCCCTCGGACAGTGCTCGGACATACTGGTAACAGCGCCCGCAGATGGAACAGGTACTGCACCCAAGGTCCCCCTGCTCAACCCCCTCTCCACTCCCAACCACTCCCCTCATCCCTGCACTCTTTATCCCAGGCCAGTGCCTTTTATTTCTTCACATTCCTTCCCTCTGCACCTCCCACCCCATCCCCTCCTGCCAAGGGTGAAAGTGAAAATCCGATTTTGGCTCTGGTGCAGACTCGAGGAACAGTATCGACCTTCTCTGGAGGCTTCTGGTGCACCTTGTGAGGGTTGCAGGTGCCCATGCCTCACAAAAGCCACCTCACAGCAGCTTCAGCTTGGATTCCACACCTCAGAACAGCTTGAACACCAAGTGCTGAGTGCTACTCAAATGTAGGAGTAACCTTGTACTTCAAAAGCAACACAGAAGTTCTCCCATCACAAGAAGCCATTCTCTAGGAGTAAAGAGAACTAATCTAGCAGCACTTCAGTCAGGAATGGTTGTCTTAATTCAGCTTTTGGCTCTCCTTGAGCCCTGCTGCTGTTCTGCTTGTCCTTAGTAGCCACAACACCCAAAACCATCAATACCAACCTGCCACAAGCTTGTAGCTCATTTGTAGGATTTTTAATTTTAAACTGTCCTGAAGAGTTACTCAATTGCCTGTCAGATCTGTGGGCAGCTTTTCCTTTTATCCTTACATTTAAGGTCAGAAAGGAGCAAATTTTTTAAGAAAACCTTCCTTAAGGGTCCAGATATAATCACTAAGATCTGTTTCATTCTGTTTCAAAACCTTTTACTGTTTTGTTTGTTCTGTGTGTGTCCAAATCATGCCATCCATGTCCCACAGACTCTGTGAGCAGGGCCCTCCTAGTGCCATTTCACTGTCTGCATTCCCCATGGGCTGCAGTTGCTGGTGCTCTCCAAGACAGCCAATGTTTGCTCCCTCATGACAAGGAAAGAGGAGGTGCTCTGCATTTTGGGGGGGTTATTAGCTTGCTTAAATACAGGGTATGGTTAGGACTACCAGACAGCTCAGGTGGTGTGAAGGACAGTGCTCCTTCAAGGGAACTACACAGTGCCAGGAAGGTGCTGGTTCCAGTGGGAGCAGGGAGCCCTTTGCTTTTGGCTGTCATATCTTGCATTCTCTTCCCAGAAATACATGTCCATAAAGCTGCTGCTGTTCCTTCTTCTCTGCTTCTTCTTCTTCTTCTTCTTCTTGGCACTTCTCTCAGCCTTGCACTGGATTCCTTTCTATTCTCTTGGTGCTTGGTCTGCATCCCTGCTGCTCCTTGCTCTCTGCCTGCCTGCCTGGGGAGGGGCTGGATGGGGTGTCTTGATGCCTCTGCCATGGTGCATGAATGCAAACAACCTTGTCTGAAGCATGGTCCAGCACCCTTGAAAGGCTCACAGCTTTCTCCAGTCTTAAGTCTTGCTAAGACTGCTCCTGGGCCTCAGCTTGTGGTGGGGTTTTCTGCTTTGCTGTTCCTGTAGGTGGTATTGTAGCAATGTTAGATGGATCTGTTCCATGAAATAAAATATTGGTGAGGGTGGGGAAATTCTAGGGCCTTCATTCTAGACTTGAAATCCCTGGGCTGGAGCATGACCTGATCCCAGTCTGCACTGTCTCCTGTTTATCTATGGTCCCACCCGAGCTTCATGTGGCTGGCTGAAGGGCTATGGAAAAGGCACTGCATTCTTTCCAGGGCTTGAAAAACAAACAAAACCAACAGAAGCTCTGTTCTTTTGACTTGAAAGACTTAAGTCCCTTTGAATTCAGAACCCACTGGCTAGAATTAGCTGTTTCCCTGCATCTTGTACCTCCCATACATAATAACACCAAACCCTCTCTGTGTTTACTGTGCTCTGGCTGTTTGAGATCAACCTTTCAGAACTTGAATCCAGAAGCTTTGGTCTTTATTGCATTACCTGAACAGCTCTGGCAGGAAATCAAAGTCAGGGTAGCTCAAGAGAAATTCACGTGGGTTTTTAACCACAAATAGTAAATGGTTTGTACTCAGTCATGGTTTCATATGGTAAGTGATCTTTCAGCATAGTTTAGTTAGCTGTGAAGTACTCATGGATTTCACAGGAGTCAGTAGAACTCATGGCCTCTAAAACTAACTGATTATTCCTTAAAATTAGGGTTTTTTGCATCCAATGATTCCTTTGTGCCCAGGCTATGTGTGTTAAGTGCCTAAATAGCATGTGCTGGCAAACCACACCTATGAAAATTTATATCCTCAACAAGGCTGAATGTGAAGCAGAGACATTTATTTTCTTTGGAGAAATACAAAAATAGCCCTGTGTGCAATCAGCTGTGTTTGTTGGAGCTGGCTGGTAAGTGACTGAGAGGTGCTGTGCTGGAAAGCACAGGCACCAGCAGGAATGGGAACAAGAACTCTTTCAGGTGCCCTTCCTGGGGAAGCTGACAGTGAGGTGGAGGTATGGGGTGCAACTTGTCCTCTGTGCTGTTTTGGAAAGGGTAAATGAGGGTGTGTAGGCACATGGGTACTTCCAGTGAGTGCGCTGGAAGAATGACTGAATTGTGCATGTTCTTTAACCTTCTATGAAAGCTCCTCTTTAAAGGAAACTAAATGCAACTGTGAACCTGACAGCTGTGGAGTCCAAGCCCTCCTTGGTCTGAATTGTGCTCAGGCTTTCTGTCTTTAGAATCACTTTTTAAAGGAGTTAAAGACATAGTGATTTGCTTTCTGTCTTTTGAATCACTTTTTAAAGGAGTTAAAGACATAGTGATTTTTTAAAAAACAACTAAAGACCTAATTACTTTAACCCTGGATAATATAGTTTGGTTTCATATCCAAAAGTGCCAAGTGTCTGCTGATACATCTTCATCTGCTGGCCTGTCCAGCTGTTGGGACCTGTGTGTTCCACAGCATCTTTCCTCTGCTTCTCAGCAGAGGATGCAGAGAAGGACTTGAGGAAGGACTCTGCATGTGGAGAGGGCAGTGGTGCCTGGAGGGTGATGCTGAGGCTGAGCCAGAGCACTCTGACAGAGCTGTGCTGTGAGAGGTGCTCAGGGGAGTGCTGGCTCTCTGCTGCCAGCTCTGTCACACTTCCTGTGTCATTAAAAATACACAACACAAAGAGTAACTGAACTGGGAAGAGGTACAAAGGTGCAAAAATCCTCAGTTAAGGAGAGAACATCAGCCCTAACTCTGACTACTCTGAGTCTTGGTTTGTTCCTTGTGGTGGATTTGCAGGTAGGTTTGAATGTAAAATACTCTGTGCTTGACTCTCCAGATCTTGTGTTCCTGGTTACTTTGTGTTAGTGACACTTAAACAACTGTGGGGTCTTTCTTTTTGGAGGAAGGAGGGATTTCTTTTCAACTTCTCCCACCATGATAGGTGTACTTTGTACATCTTTGAAATGCAATTCATCAAGTGGTCCTCTTGATTTTAATGCTCTCAAGAAAGTTTATATTGCATGTTGTGTGCTGAACCCAACTACTAGTCCAGGAAGATGCACAATAGCCTTCCATTATCGGAGATTTTTTTTTCTAAATACTTCTTACAAACTTTAGCACCGGGAAGAGTTCTCTGTTCATACTCATCTCCTATCACATGTCACTACAGAGAATGCAAATGGAAAATGAGCACTCAAATGGATTTTTCCTTCTAAGGCCCTCTTCTTATCATGAGGCTAGGCTGGTAATTTCAGCATTGCACTACCTGAAATGTGCCCTACTTACTCTATGAGAAAGTTCTTTGACTTCTAAACCTCTCTGAGCCTGTTGGGTTATTCTCCTATGTATTAATAACACCCTAAACTTTATTTCTGAAACAGTAATCACATTTAATAAACTGTATAGATTATTGCCCTTAAAGTAGCTCAGCTTGCTATTTTCTATCTTTTGCCCTCTCACTGACAAAAAATACATCTTAGAAAGAACAGATGTACCCTTTGTCTTCTAAATATAGATGCCATTTCTGGGCCAGAGTTTTATATTAAGATCCATGTTCTGGAAAAAGTTTTCCAATTATGGAAGGCACAAAAATCTGAGTGTGCAAGTAAGCCACAGGTGTCTTCATCTTGTGCTGCTGGGATCAGCTCTGCCAGAGGAGCAGTTTCTCTCTTCTATTGTGCAGAGGTTCAAGCCAGGTCAGTCTTTGAAGGAAAACTGATAAAATACTGTTAATTCTCTGAAAACCCCCATGGATAGCTGAGCTTTTGAGAGCCTAAAGATGCCTCATAATGTTCTTTCCCAGTGGGCAAGATAAATCACACCTCCTGGTGTGGAACTGCCTTTCAGTTGTCTCTGCCAGCTTAACTGGCTATTTTATGTGCTTTGGTTTAAGAGGTGATGAAAAGTCAGAATGCTGAAGAGCACTCTTGGGAAGTGAGCTGTGGATATTATAGAATTATTCAGGCTCCAGAGGGTATAAAAAGAGGAATGAAATGTCTGTCCTCATTGCTTGGTTGTTAATATTGTGGCAGCAGAACCCAGAAGGTATCAAACACATTGGCATAAAGAGGCAAAGTTCTGTTCTTGCTGCTGGATTTTATTCACGTGTTTTCCAGCTCATTATTCAGAGCTGAATGACACAGGTTACCTCAGAAGCTTCTGGGAGCTGTTTTGGGTTACCTTGCTTAGAATAAAAAGGAGAATGAGAACAGCACCACCAACTCCAAATCAAACTAACCTTCATCTTTGTGACTTGCTCTTCTCACCCCCACGCTGGAGCCTCATCTGCTGCTGCACAGTGCACAGCTTGGATCCCAAACCTCAGTGGGCTGTCACCCACCTGGTAACTTGCTGATATCATCCTGTTTGATGGCAGCCTGTTCCCAGCCTGATAGGGTCTGTTCTTTCTTGGGCATAAATCATTTATTCCTCACTTTTCTTTCAAGCTGCCCATCCGTGGCACGTGCAGTCTTCTGATGCCCTCATTGCTGTAAAATGCAATGTGAAGATGCAGTGAGCACCCATTTTCTTTTCAACCTCCTTTTCTGGCATGGTTGAAAGCAGTAACATCACTAAGAGAGGATGAAAGTGTGGGGTGGGTTTTTACATCTGCATCATTCCCATCTCCCTCTCTTCTCCCAAGCAACATATGTCATGTTTTGACTTAGTGACTGTTGGATTTCCTTCTCTAGAGAGCTTGGATAAATCACCAGCACCCCTGCAGCAGAATGTTACTCAGAGTGAACTGTGCAGTGACTTGTGAAACTTTCCTCTTAAAGAGTGAGTCAGCAGCTGCTTGAGATGCTTGCTGTAAACACACACCATGTTATGCTGAGAAGTGGTAGAAATCTGTGGTTCCATCGTGACATTAGTCATTCTGACTTAACTTTCTGTTTGTTTTGTTTTTTTTTGTCTTGTCTTTTCTTTCTCCAGTACACCTCCAGCATGAGAGCCAAATACCTCGCCACCAACCAACCTCGTCCAGATGCTGGCAGTGTGCATTAAAATGAAAAAGCAAAAGCAAAAAGCAAAAAAAAACAGAAACAAAAACAAAAAACAAAACCCACACGTGCAGTCAGACTAAACAATGTGCCAACTGCTGTGCCCCTGTGCTGTCCTTGTAGAACAATCCTGCTGTTCTGCCCAAAATCTAGTGCAGCTCCTTCTGTTTCTCCAGCCCAGACCACCCTTCCAACCTGGTACCTGGCCACTGAGTGGAAGCTCCTTTTTATTTAAGCCTTCACCCTGTACAAGAGAGCAAACGTGTGCTGGCCAGCAGCTGACAGCACCTGGGCAGGAACCTGGGCCCCAGCCCATGGGCAGCTCACCAGAGCAGCCTGGCAGGAACAGGGGCTGAAAATCTTCTGCCCCCTCCTTCCCCCTTCTGTTCCAAGAGGGACTTGGTGAAAGATGGTGGTAGATCTTCTTCACCTCTGCAGTGGGACCAGCAGCCTGCCAGACACTGAAGAAGCAACTCTGGGTGCCTGTGGCTGGTGTGCAACGAGGGAATGCTGGGGATGCACAGCACAGGACCTGGTGGGAATCCTCTGGTGAGGGAGGAGGGAGCTCCTGCCTCAGGGTGTCACTGCATATCCACTGGAATTTGCTCCAGAAGAGCAAACCATTTCACTACCCTGGTTAACATTTTTTTTTTGGAGTCCATTAAGAAAATGCCTTTTTCTTTCCCTCTATATCTATATGTGAATTCTTGAGGAGGAGCAGAGGGGCCCAGCACAGTCAGGCACCCTGTCCACTGCTCTGGAGCTGACTCTGCTCCACCAGGGAAGCCCAGGTATTTGCAGATGGCATTCTGGGTGCTGCCTTTCCCAGGCTGACACAGATCAAACAGGAGCCAGCCACTCACTTGGTGCCAAATTTTTCCAGGGAAAGACTTTTAAGACTTTATGGGAGGTATTTTTGCACTAAAGAGTTTTGGCTCTCCGATGCTAGATCTTATGGGACAGTCAGCTTGCAAAAGCAACAGAAACTGGAAGCACCAATGGATTTATAGCAAATGCAAGCTCTCCACGTGGGAATGACCTGTGAACTCTGCTGGACTTTCTTTTTTTCCTTTTTTATAAACCATAATCTACAGCGCAGGGTTGCTGAAATGGCATTGAAGGAGGTTTTTGGAGCCTCATTCCTAACAAACTCACCAGATTGTCAGTGTATCTTCTGTGTTTAGAGTCCAAAACCCTCGACAACATTGTGACTGTCAGAACAGATTTATATTTGATTCTATTTTGTTTAGTTTTCAAAGGCGCATTGCTAACCACTATCTGACCATACTAATGCACATGTAAGGCATTTTCTAGACGTGAGGCAGAGCAAGGCTTGCAAAGGGGCAGCTGGGTGCCTGCAGAGGGCAACATCCTTCACTGGTGCTGTACTTCCCACTGCAGAGCAGTGCTCCAAAGGGCACTGGCAGCTTCCTGCTGGAAGAGGAGACTGCCTCTTGGGAGGTGCTGTCAACTACTGCCCTTTCACTAGGGTAACTATAATGCTCCTTTTTGTCTTTTTACCTCTCGGTAGGGGCATCTTAGCAGAGCTGCTGAGCATTTTATTAAATAACTGGCAGAGGAAATTGAGTGGGAAGCATCTCTCAAACTGAGTGGAGCTGTTGGCAGAGGCAGTTCATTGTCACCTCAGTGATGTTCAGACTGATGTTTGTTTACCCCACCTTTGCAGCTTGGGGCGCAGAATTACCAACCTGCCTTTACTCAAGTCAGTTGCCTTCTTGCAGTGAGGTGGGCACTGCTCCTGGCAGGCAGCTAAACAGGCTGGAGGGATCTGCTGGGAAATGCCACCAGCTCTGTGGCACAGCAAGCTTGGAGACTCCTCTCAAGATAGAAACCACTACTAAACTGCAAGGCCAGCTGTTACCATTGGAAGGAGTGTGAGACAGGGAGGAGGCATCACCACACAGACAGGAGGAGAAGGATTTGGAATAAACTTCACACTTCACCATAAATCTCTGGAAGCAGGATGTTCTTGCTCAGGACTGAGTATGCCCTTTCAGACACATTGGATGGGCTTCACACTGAAACATTACCTCTGTTTTATCAAATAACAAGGGCAGGGAAACCTGGTCACAGGTGGTATGGAGGGACACTGTGGCTCACAAGCCCCAGGGTTTCCATCCTGTCTTGGAGCCTACCAGGAGCTGTGGTGAGGTGATCTTGCAGGGCCCCAAGCACCCAACTGTTCTCTGGGGGAACCCCAACCTTTCCCTCACTCTGAAGAAAGAATCAAGAGCCATATAATCCTTACTAAGACTGAGTTGTTCTGCCATCATCCCTCCATGCAAGGATGTGCTCCGATTGCCACTCACATTATCAATTTTAGGGGAGCTGCCCTGAAATCTGTGGCCCAGTCCTACTGGTGGAAGGCAAATGTTTTGGAGGCTCGAGGGTGTGGGGAACCCTGTGAAAACAAGAGCTTCTGTGTACCATCTTCTCTGTGCACAGAATGCACCCTGAACCTGCGTATGACTTCACTTTGGGCTGGGTCTGAGTTGTCACCGTGGCATTGTCTGTGCCACACAGGAACAGGAGTGAGCCTTTGTTTGCAGCATCCAACAGAGCAGCCACCTTGACCTGCTTCCTTCCAAGGTCTGGCACAGCCACTTCCAACACCCAGAACAACTTCTGACAGTGTTTGGGGCTCGCAGCAAGGCACAGCTGTGGAGATACGTGCTCTGTGACTTCAACATAAAACTGGAAAGAATGTTATGGAGATAACATTTTGCTCTCTGGGGGCCAGCACAACGTGACTGCAGTATGAGCAGTGTACCTGTGTCCAGCCAGCACTTCCTTTACTTGACATGGATATTGCACTTTTGTAAAGCATCCTGGAACTCTGCTGCCCCGCTGCATGCTGTGCAGAGCGCTGGATAGGAAACACAGACAAATGGGTTTCTTTTGGTTTGTTGTTATTATTACTACTACTTTTTTGGGTTTTTTCCTTTTTGTTTTTTTTTGTTTTACTGGAACCTTGAGCAACAGTGTGGCATTTCTGCAGGCTGGTCTGAGTGGATCTGCTGAAGAACAGATGGCCTTTGCCTATTCTTATGGCTGCGACATAATCAGTCTCATCCATATGGTCACATTCAGTCTGAGGAGGGGACTTTGAAAAGCCAAGATCTCCCAGACTCTGTGCCTCCCTCTAGGGTGAACAGCAGGTGCTATCTGGCAAAGACTCATCTGTTCTGGATGGCATTCATGGTTGAGGGAGTCCAAACTCTTCAAGCTGCAGGAGGTAAAGCTGTAGAGACTTCTCTCTCTTCCATCGTGTCTCTCTGTTTTTAATGTGACAAAACGCCGAGGCCATATCACTTGGTGTGTCCTAGCTGACCTTGTTGGACATTTCTCATGTTGCTGGTTGCTAGAAAAAGGGTCCAGAAGTTGGAGGAGCTGAGATTGGCCTCTGGACACCTCGCTGACTGCAGAGTGGACGGCAGCTTGTCCGGTTGAAGGTGACTGCGTCGGTGAAGACACTTCATGTTACCTTTTCAGAAGCACAAATATGGTCATTGGCTTGTCTGGTTGGCTTGGTTTATTTCCACTGCATCATCATGTGTGAATGACACTTTCTTTTTGGAACTGAGAACTCTTCCAAGCACACAAACATCTCCACAATGTGAAATGTAAATAGCATGTTGGACTCTTGTGTCCAGTGTTCAAGACTGCATTGTAATTGTAAAGGAAATCAAATCAAGACTTGGCTGTGAATTTCTTGTGCTGTCTTGGGAATTATAACTGTAGTGTTTGTATCCTGTATGTATTATTAAACTGAGTTCATTTTGTGTGCTGATAAAAGGGTTCAAGCTAAGATTTTTAGCGTGCATCCATGTACCCAAATGTGAAGGATGGAGTGCTCCCTTCCCCTCCTGTCCTTTTTAATTTTCTCCATTTGATAGGTGTTGATTTTCCATGTACAGTCATCTCAGCCAAGATGCAAGGGATGTTCATTGGAGTGCTTTGAGGGGGACACAGTGCATGGGGTTTTAAGTGATCCTAAGTCAGGATTTCCACAGCAGTTCCCTGAAACCACATGAAAAGTTTGGCCTTTCTGAGAGTTCAAGCGTTTCTCAGGGAGCTGCTCAGCCATTGCTCACGAGAGCTGTGGGTGCTGCAGGGGGTGGGAGGCAGGAGTGGGTTGGTGCCCCCAGAGCAAGGTACCTGTGGGAGCAAGCCCAGGCTTCACTCCTGGTGCCCCCTTCTCTCTCTCCCTCCCAGCAGCCACTGAAATACCATTCTGAGCCCTTTGAAGAAGAGAGAGGTGTCTTGGCTGGTTGGTCCCTGCCACCTCCCAGTTCCAGAGGAGATGGGGTGGGTGGGTTTCCCCTGAGCTCAGGAGAGGAGCTGCCTTTGGAGTTGTTCCTGCCTGGGCTCCAAGGAGCAGCCAGGGTCTCCCCCAGCCCAGCAGTGTCAGTGAACACCTCTGGGTGGGAGGGAAGAGCCCAAAGCCTTCCAGAGAGGTGCTGAGGAGCAGATCTCAAGCCTTGAGACAGAGCCAAGGCTTGGTCTGCACCTCCTTTCACCACAGCCAGAAATTGTGTGTGTGCTATGGATGGCTTCCCTAGGCAGCCCAGGAGGCCCAGCAGAAGTGTGGGATGTTTTACAGCAGTTCCTAGCTGGCTGGCAGGTGGTTTGTGCTGTCAGGGGGTGTGGGGTCTCTGCCAAGCCGTAATGGTGAGTGTGCTGCCCAGCTGGGACGTGAGGGATGGGTCACTGCTGGCCTGGAGCTCCCAGGTGCTCGCCCAGCCCCTGTGGCTGCATGAACCAAGTGGAACATAAATTGATGAACAACCAGAAAGTTCAAAATGCTCCTTTCCTGAAGAGGATAACTGTAGCGTGAAGCTCTTAGGTGCTCTGCATATTTGATACCACATTGCTCCTCACTATGCAATTCCCAACTCCTTCCTTCCTGTTCCTCCTCTAATCTCACACCAAGACTTCTGCAGTGGCCTCTGCCCAGGAGGCTGCTGGAGTCCCAGAAAAGCCTCATTTCTTCCATTGTCCTCTGCCCTGGGTGCAGCTGCCCAGCTGTCACGTCGTGTG